CACATAGTCACCAGCCAAAGACACACTGTCCACCCAAGGTGACAAGTCAAGTGGCATCGTCTAGGCCGAGGGATGGCTAGAGGAGGTGCCACCATCTCTCGGGCACTGCACCCTGGGATTAGGGCTGCTGGGGTGGGCTTTTCGGGACTGGAGCCACCCTGACCTCATGACACAGGAAGTGAGTTGTGAACAGAGAGCAGAGGAGGGCTAGTGTGGGGGGTGGGGCAGATCCCGAGGCAGAGACAGGACTGAGGCCCCTGAGGAGAACTGCAGGGGCTGAGCATCAAGAAAGTAAGGCACAAACTCAGGCCTGGAAGTCACTGTTTTATTTCTGCGGTGAGCCCACAGAAGTGCATGAAATGCACACGCACGAACTGAGAGATGCCACACCCTCAGGAACACGCTCCAGACACAGCCATGCCCAGGGCTAGCATGACCCCCACTGCCCCACCTCCAAGAGACCCCAGGAGGAGCCTGGTGATGGCACGCGTAGTGCTCACAGGCCCAGATACGGTGGCTGTGGAGGGGAAGTAGCACATCCACGGAAAATCCATGTACACAGTTTGCCCAGAGCAGCTCCTGGCACTGTCCGTCCCACCTACAGGGAGCTGTCCCCTGCCCTCACTGCAGAGGCACAGGCCAAGCCGGTCACCCTGCTTTTCCAGGCGCTGGGGATGGGTGTGGAGGTATAAAGTGGCCTTGGGGATGCCAGTCTGACACGGAGCTTCCGGCCTCCCAGGCTGGCACGGTGTCCTAGCAGGCCACATGTGGAAGGAGCCTGACACCCAGAGCTGCCCTAGCCCCGGGCTCCCAACACCCCAGTGGTGCTGCTGCTGGCCGAGCTGGGCCGTCCCTGTGACAGCCGTTTACCAGGGCTGTCCCCATGTGGAACTACGGCAGGAGGGTGGAGCATGGGCCTGAAGCAGCTTGTGTGGCCCAGACACACTCCCCCCAGCCAAACCCCCGGGGCTCAGCGATGGCACTCCACCTGCAGGCCTCGAAGCCGCACTCTGCCCCACTCAGCTGGGGACCCTGCTTTGCTACCTGCAAAGTAAGAGGCTGCCACTGGCTTTCAAAGTGACATTCTTAGCCCTGGGGAAGAATGAGCAGCTAGAGACAATGGCACGGACAGGTGCGTGGCTCCGGGCCACCACTCCACCCCCACCTACCTGCCCAGGGCCATAAACACTCCAGCTGCGAATGACAAGTCCTGAGAGGACATCTATCATCATTAAAGGGGGTGATCGGGCCTTTGGCTGGGGGCTGTGGTGGGGGTGGGCCCATCTGTCCAGAAGCCCCACTCAGTCTAGCCTCTAGCAGCAGATGCTGGACACGGTATGGGGTGGGTGGACGGGACAGTAGAGGAACATGTGATGTCACAGACCCAGGCCAGGGTCGGCCAGAGAGGTGCCACCCACACCCGTATGCTAGAAGCCTATTCTGGATCAAGTACTTTTCAAAAGGAGGGACGAGACAGGACGGCGGGGCGGGGGGGCAGACGAGGCGGTGTTCTTCCCTGCTCTAGGAAAGGAAGCACAGCCCACACGGGCTCAGTGGCCCCTTAGCCACTCCCTCCCTCATGGACACCCCAGAACCCAAGGCATGGGGCCCCCCTTGGTGGCAGAGGGCACTGCAGTGCCTAGAGCCGCGAATGAGCGCCCACCTCCTGCCCAGGCTGCTGCCAGGCTGCACAGTCAGAATCGAGGATCATGTTGCAAAATCACCAGAGCGTGCGCTCTGCCCACAGCGCCAGGCCATCCCAGCACTGCTCCAAGGCTCCGTTCACCACAGAGCAGGCGAGGCAGCAGGAGTAACTGGCCAAGCAAAGTTTAATGAGGAGGTGCAGTTCTCTGCTGGGACACTTGTTCCCATGCAGAGGGAGCTCTGCAGTCCTGGGCAGGGCTGAGCCGTGTCAGTGCCAAGCAGCCTTGGCACGCCAGGCCCCACTTACGACGAAGCTTTTACCCTCTTGCCCTGTGGCTCTGCGGAGGCTGATTACAACCCCGTTCTGCTCTAAGTCAGAGAGAACGGGAGATTGGCTGGCTCGGCTGTGCACTCAGGTCTGACAGTTGTGCAGCCGGCTTAACTACCGAGTCATTTTTTTTCTTTTGCACAGTTCAAAACTGTGGAGGGGAGGAGGCAAGGAATCAGTCTAGGAAACACATCCCTCTCTTGCTGAAAAGAGTTTCTTTTCCCAACTCTTCCAGGAATAAAACCCCTGCATTTGTCAGGAACAGACACTTCATTTAATGAGACTGAAAAAGTGACAGTTGGGGGGAAGCAGTGAGAAAGAGCCCACATCTACCCCGCACTCGGCTACGCTGAAGTCAACAGGAAAAGTGCCGAGGGAACTCTGGGCCCGAGCAGACCACCACCTCCGTGGCTGCTTGAACCTGTTGTGCTGGGAGCAGCCACCCTCAAGCCCACCCCACACCCCAAATGGTCCCCCCAGAGTCCCTGTGGGTGTGACTGAGCCCTTCTGAAAGCCCCAGTGTGGACTCTGCCGTCCTGAAGAACATGATCAGAGGGCAGGAAGCTCTGGAGGGCCCACCCGGCCTGGCAGCAGGTGCCATTCCACAGCCGGCTCCAGGCATCTTGGGTAGCCACGCCCCTCCAAGCTGAGCCCACTTGGGCTGTGTTCATAACAGCTGCCCTCAGGGGCAAGGCAGGCTGTAGGAGCAATGGCTCGCACTGCCTCTGTCCCCTATAGCTTGATTGTTTCTTCCTGGCACCCAAAAGTTCCTCAGAGTCAGCATCCATCTGAGGAGTACCAGGGCCGTTTGGTGCATGGGATCCTCCTAGTTTTAGCCGGCTTGACCTGCTGTTAGCACTTGCGCTCAGCTCTCGAGTCCCACGTCCAGTCTGCTGGCTGGAGGCGTAATCCTGCAGGGGTCAAGCCAGGCTCTGGCTCATCTCTGTCCCCGGGAAATGTGGGCCTTACCTTAGACGTGGCTGTGGTGCCTCGGCTATGGCCTCTAGGCACACCAGCTTGCCCATCAGCCAAGGGCACACTCCTGTGTCCGATGGAAGTTAGCCAGGCCAGTGTCCTCCCGCATCCTAAGCAGGTGTCAAGCCGTGAGAGGCTTCCCAGGGGGCAGCGTGGGATCAGCTCAGATGACGGAGGGCTTGGCAGGCTTTTCAGAACTCCACCCCGGCATGGCACTTTGATGTCCCGTCCCCCTCCTGCGAATCTGATGGAGGCACCATGGCAGTGTCTACACTGAAGGGAACCAGAGTCCATGGCCTTAAAACCTGAATGCACAATACTGTCTGGAGGGACGAGGGACAGGGCGTGGGTCTGGGATGTCTGCAGGTTCTCGCCAGCAGGGAAATGCAGCTGCTGAGAGCGCTGAGTGTCCAGTGCCTGCATGACAGGTGGGGGGGGGCGTCTGTGGGTGCTCAGACCCACTGCCCCAGGGAAGCTGCTGGGCCCCAGGCCTGGCCCTGCATCTTGTCTTCTACCTTTACGAAGAATGCTTCATGGCGGCCCGTGCTACCTTGTACCTGTAAGCCCAGAGCTCAGGGTGCTAAAGCAGGACTGACATGACGGTGACCAACCTAAACAGAGGGGGAACCTTCCTTAAGCAAATGAATGAACAAGAACAAAAGCTCTCCAAGTTATCTTCCAAAAGAAGCAAACTCCACCCTCCACAGGCCTGGGGTTCCTTGTGTACTGGCAGGGAAGTCTGCTTGCTAGGGATGAGGAGGAGTTCTCCAGGCCAACTGGCCAAAGGCAGCAACCCGCTCTCCGCCTTTGGGAGCCCCCTTACCAGAGGCAGCCTCACCACACAGCAAAATGAAGCCTGAGGCTCAGACAGTTCCCTGGTCTCCCGAGGACTGGCTCCGCAACCCTAGGCCTGAGCTCACGGAAGACTAGCTCCACTGCTCCTGTGGCCTCATGCTGCCACCTCGTCAGTGTGGACAAGCTGTTCCAACGAAGTCAAGCTCAGAGAAGGCGGGCTGACCCGTCCTCACGTCTAGAACTGGACCGGACCCAAAGGCCTGTCCTCCTCTGAGCTTGCTGGCAGGACATGTAAGTGGCCTTGTGGGGCCCTAGGACGATGCATGGAAGCCACCGGAGAGGGAGCCGGGCAGAGCTGCATTGGTCAAAGCTGAACACGCCTGAGAACCGCTCTTCACCGTCCCTGGGAGACTGCTGTGCAGTCCCAGGCCTGTGCCCCTAACACCCATCTGCTGGCCAAACCATGAGGCCCAGTGGGGTCAGCCTAGGACTGTACCCTGCCGACCCAGGCATCTGCACGGTTCTCCAGCAGCTGGGTGCTAGCAGTTTGCTCGCCGGCCTCGCGGGCTGGGAGGCCAGTACAGCACGAATGACAGGCCAACAGCGGCAATCTGACCAACTATTGACTCCGGTGTCCGCAGACTGATTTGCGCATTGTGTCTGGTTGAACTTCAAGGATGGCCCTGGTCAGGCCAGATGGCACAATATGCTAGCTGGGCCTGGTCTCCCTGGGGACGGACAGCCTCTGCTCTGGAGCCTGAGGACGACCTCTGCAGAGGTACAGAGAGTTCCAAGCCTGCAACACCCACGACTCTGCAGGTGGAAAAACCACACAAACACAACATCAAGTAGCCAGGGCAATGGGCGCTGCAGAGGGGACACTTCGGGCTGCAAGGGTCTGGGCCCTTTTCTGGTTGTGTCAAGCCTGGGGTTCTCTTCCTTTTTATTCCAGCTTGGGCCTGTTTAGAGATTCCGTCTACACTGGTACCTGGGTTAAGATTAGAGGTAGGGACTGATGGTGGGCTTGAAGAATCAAGACCCGCTTCCTCCCCCCGGGAACCTGCCTCAAGAGTGGTGAGAACACAGGTGCCCTTCTGTCCCCGGAGGGAAAAAACCTGGTTGGGGTGGCTTCCGCAGGCAGGCCTGCTCCTCCCAAGGCCGGGGGGGGGGGGGGGGGGCTGACACAGGGCCCTGCCTGGAAGGGCACACTCCTGCTCCATCCAGGCCCACCCAAGTCACTCCACATCCTCTGCCTCCTTTATTGGTGCTGTTGGTTGGTTGAGCGTGAGTTGGGGCCTGGACTCGGGGGCAGCGAGCTGGCACTGGGAGCCCGCAGTGCATGAGGGTCGAGCTGCTGACTGGAGGTGCTGGGGTCCCCTGTTGCCGGTTCCTCACTGCTCTCTTCCTTCTGGCTGCTCTGCTGCTCCGGACATTCAAAGTGGACGCAGTGGAACACCTGGTGAGGGAGAGAGAAAGCCGTGAGTGGTGCCTCAGCCTGGGCCTGGAGCTGCAAGCAAGGGTGGTGCCTGGTACGCCGGACGAGCCAGGGGCCATCTCCTGGCAGCCCAGCATGCTCCTTGCCTGCCTCAGATACCTGACAGCAACAAGGTTTTAGGTGCGCTGGGTCAGTGAATGCAGAGAGATGGGTGTTCCCAAAGTCACACACGTCCAGCGTGGATGCGTCAGCAGTGCCCAGGCCAGAACACTCAGCTCTGGCTTTTCTCCTCTGGGCCCTTCTCCCTTTTGAATCATTCTTGAAAAAAGAAAATTGAGAGTGTGAGCGTGTGTGTGTGTGGTACTTTGTGACCACGGGCGATGAGTACTGTGGACCTGGAGTGACAGGTGGTTATGAACAGCACAAGGAGGGGTCAGGAACCAACCTGACCCCTGTGCAGGAGTGGCAAGTGCTCTATCGAGCATGCGCACATGTCCTCAGGTTAGAAGAGCATAGCGGTGCTGGCCCCAGAACTCTAAATAGATGCACTCTTAGGCCAGCTTGTCCTGCACTTGAAGTGGGCTGAGGGGGTGGTGTGGGAATTCCAGCTCAATAAAGGATTATAAAAACCAGGTAAAGGCGGGCCTGATGGTGCTTGCCTGTACTTGGGAAACAGAGGCAGGAGGATCATGAGGTCTAGACCAGCCTGGGTTACATGACAAGTCTGTGTCTCAAAACACCAAGAGAAAAAGAGATAGGGGTATAGCCGACCAACGGGGCATTACCACTATATCCTGCCATACCCAACAAGGCCCACTAGGGACAAGAGGGCCTTAGTGGGCATATGTGCCAGGGACTAAGCTTTCCTCTGAGCTTGTCTGGGCCAGCTGAAGCATCAGTCACCTGGATGGGGAATGCTGCCACCTCCACACAAAGCCTGCCTTCCCGCTAAGGCCAGCCACGAGCTCCAAGCAGCGTAGAACAGTGGGCACAGCACTGACTCAACGGTGAGCGTGCACCGTGGGGAGGACACTCCAACTCCAGCATGCGGTGAGCTTCAAGGGGGTGGGGAGCCCCACTTTCTGAGTGCCGAGCCCATGCTCTCTGCGGATGTGAGGCCCGTCCTCAGCGTCAGGGTCTTCAGCAGGGGGAGCGACAGGCCAGCTTCTGCAGACAGAGATGTCTGAGGCACAAGTCAGGAAGGGCAGGTGGCCATGCAGGGCAGGGGTGGGGAGGCCTGCGGGGAGGCCTGCTGTGGCTAGGAGCTGAGGGGATTCAATTTCTTTCCTCTGAAGCTTCCCCAGACCGCAATAGTCCTCGGAAAAGGGTGTGACCAAAAGCGAATGAGGCATCCCGGGCAGAGCTGTACTCCTGATTTATGCAAAGCCATTACCATGGTCTCCGCATCATTTTCCCTCCGACTTTTCGGCAATCGTGTATCCCATTAGCCTGTTTGATTGCTGCTGTTCGTGAGGGGCACCTTCGCTGAGCCATCGTCAGCGGCGCAGGGTCTCCCCCCAGAGAAGTGGCCAATTTGCAGTGCAGTCGTGTATGTATGAGTCAGACCCAGCCTCCCTCACACCCTCACAAGTCCTTTCTTGTGGCTGCTGTAATCCTGGATGGGTCTGAAACGGTCTGGCATGCCCCATTCAGTTAGCCTGTGTGGTGGGTGTGCGCAGCCCTGGCCCCTTCTGCAAGTAGACTGAGTCCTCGATCCTTCCAGAGCTGTGAATCCCCAAAGCACCACACGCTTCCTTTTCCAAGGTTTGTACAGGAGAAGGGGGAGGATGGCGAGGATCGGGAAGAGAAGGGGAAGTGAAGGGGAGGACAGAGAGGGGAAGATGAGGTGCGGGGACCTACTGGCCCAAGAGCCCACTGTGAAGGGCAGCAGAGACCGGGAAAAGGAAGGAGAACCGATCACCCAGTCCACCCTGCTTCTGCAGCCTCTGAGTGATCTGCACAGACCACTTTCCTGCCAAACAGTACAAACAGGATTTCTGACCCACACTTCCAGCTTGCATTTCCAAGGTGATGGATCTTTATAAAACAGATGGCTCCCTCTTACCGGCTGCCCGTAAGTTGAAGGCCTGAGGATTGTTCCCCTCCATCCCAGTACCGCACCCATCACCACTTCAGCTGCTAGCCAGCCCAGATGGCACCAGTGACCTCTCTCCCGCCCACCTCAGAGCTGACCTGAGCAGTCCAAACACAGACCACAAACAGCTTTTCTTTTTGTTCCGTTTAAACAGAAGACTAAGGAGGGTATGGTGACACACACCTGTAATCCTGGCACTGAGGGAGCGGAGGCACGGGGACTGAGCTAGAGGCCAGCTTATGGTAGGTCGCAAAAATAAAACACCGCTTCCCATGAGCACTCTCTTTTTCGTAGCTGTGGTTTTACATACGAGTTCCCAAATAACCAACAGGCTAGTCTTGGTCACTGTTGTACTGCTGTGAAGAGCCACCAGGACAGGGCAACTCTTACCAAGGAAAGCATTTAACTGAGGGCGGGCTTACAGTTTCAGAGGCTTGGTCTATCGTCATCGTGGTGAGCAGCCTGGCACAGACACGCACAGAAGTAGTTAAGGGTACATCCTGATCCTCAGGTGGGGGTGGGGTGGGGTGAGGGGCGGGCAGACTGGGATGGAAGCCCACCCCCACTGACACACTTCCTCCAACAAGGCCACACTGTTTACTCCTAATCCTTTCAAATCGCACAGCTTTCTGGTGACACTCAAATATTCAAATACCCAGGCCATTCTTATTTGAACCACCACAATGTACTTTCACATGAGGGACCACTTAACAGGGAGACATCTAGGGGAGAGGAGGGTTGAGACAGAGTTTCCTGAAGCCAGAATGGCCTCAAATTCATTACATAGCTGAGGCTGGCCTTAAACTCCTGATCTTTCTGCCTCTTCCTCCCAAGTGCTGGGATTAAAGGCATGCACCTCAGGATTATTAAGGCACAGTATTTTTTGGTGTGTGTCCCTGGTTTGGAATTCAGATTTTGGCAGGAGTACACATGGCCCTACTTCACCTTTACAGTATCACTTCCTGTGGTGTTTGAGCAGAAACAGTCCCACAGGCTCATGTGTGTGGATGCCTGGCCCAGAGGGAGTGGCACTATGAGGAGGTGTAGCCTTGCCGGTAGAAGTGCGTCCCTGGGGGGGTGGGCTGTGAGGTCTCCTATGCCCAAGCTATGCTCTTCGCTGCCTGCAGACTAAGAGGTCCAACTCTCAGCTCCTCCAGCTCCATGTCCGCCTGCATGTGGCCATGCTGCCCACCATGAGGATGATGAACTGAACCTCTGCAAACCTGAGCCAGCCTCAATGAGATGTTTTACCTTATATAAGAGTTGCCACGGTCGTGGTGTCTATTCACAGCAATAAAACCCTAACTAAGACACTTCCTCATATCTACAGACAGTTAAACCTTGCAGTTTGGGAAATTCAGGGGATAAAAAGAACCTTTCCCTAGGTAGCCCTAAAGTGTCCTCTTCATCCTCCTCCCTCCTTCTCTTCTTTCTCCTCCTCCTCTTCTTCCTCTTCCTCCTTCCTTCTACTCTTCCTCCTTCTCCTCCTTTTTTGAGTGTACATTTCTGAGTTAACCTTCACGGCTAATTTGACTGGACTAAGGATCACCTAAGAGACTGGTGCGCCTCTGAAGGCATCTCCAGAAAGGGCTGAGGAGAAATGCCGCACCCTGACTTCGGACAGCACCACCAGCCACCTTGCATGAGGGCACGTGACCAAGTGACCATGGCTGAGCTCTGTTTCTTCTGGGAGGTGCTCTTCTTAGACATCTGGTCAGAGGATGCAAAAAGCCTGATGAATGCAGGTGGTTAAAAGGATCTCTTGTTACTGGCTTGGTGGGGATACTTCTAAGTCATTAAAAATCAAAATAAACCTACAGAACACAAGTGGAGAGCACCCTCAAGGCCAGGTTTCTGCAGTGCCTGGGTACCCAGTCCTGGCAGATGTGGCCTAAGTAGGGCTTACTCCTGCAAAGGAGGAAGGTGAAGGGACCTGGGGCCACAGCGTGGTGGGAGGCGAAGGTGGCACAGCGCGGCTGCCTTTTCCTGTGCTCAGTTCCCGCCTCTCCGGCACATGTCAGCTGTTTTCCATCTTGCCCTTCCTGGCCTTTTTGGAGGGCACCCAACCTTGTCTATTCTTGGCCTGTGTGGCTGAGGTCTACGTCCCTCCTACCCTCTGTCTTCTTGCCACTGCAGGGTTCTAAGCCTTCTCACAAACACCACGGCTCCATCTCCTCCCAGGACAAGGGGACATAACCTTGGTGAAGGCTCAAGCTCTCCCTCCTTCCATTCCTGTCAATAGTGATTCTTGAGAGCTGACTCCCCTTGACTCCTGGACCAACACTCCAGCCCCACCCACCCTGTGGAAGGATGCTGTGTGCCATGGCATGAGCTCTACCCTCAAGAGCTACAGTGTCCTGGGCACTGGGTTGATCCTCCCGCTGGGACTATCTGGCTACCCAGGCCAATGCTGCCCACACACCACTGTCTCTCTGGCCCAGCCCCTTACCCTAGTACACGGTACTTGTCCGTGGTGCCACATGAACCTATGTGTGCCAGGGTCAGCTCATGCTGGGCACTCCAGGAGGGCCAGTGTGTCCCCGGGCGCCGAGGGGGCTGCAGGCTGGGCCATCCTCTCTGTCTCTGAGTCTGCAAAGCCACCTGCTGTTTGCTGCACCCCTGCTGCTGCTCTGAAGCACCTTCAGGGCCTAGGCGATGCCCCAGGGAGGGCACCGAAGGACAGTCCTTCAGGGGTCAGGGCACACTCCAGAGGGGGCCTGGAAAATAATTACCCTAGGCCAGCAAGGAGCATTTATTTAGTTTTTCCGGAGTCTGTTTCCCTGGTTTTATTTTCCCACTAAAGCCACATGTTGCTATGGGAACGAGATGGCACTAGGATCCCAAACCACTCACAACATGGAAGGCAGCTCAAGCAGCCAAATGCAGCCCTGCCTGACACTGCCAGCTGGTGAGAGCCTCTTGCAGTGAGCTCATAGCTGGTTACTATTCCCAAGGGCTCCCGGGACGCCTCCTTCCAAGCACCAGCTCAGAGGAGGAAACCCTGCCCTTCAGCCATGCCGCATACGCCCACATCAGGGCCCATCACAAATGCCCTGTACCTCTGTCCACCACTTGAAACATGACTTAGAGATCCAAATGTCAACTGTGGTTGGGGGTGGGGGGTGATGGCTGGAAAGTTAAGAGCACTGTCCGCTCTTCCAAAGGTCCTGAGTTCAATTCCCAGCACCCACATCTGGTGCCCTCTTCTGCTATGTAGGCATACACGCAGGCAGAGTACTGTATAAACAATAAGCAAGTGTCACCTGAGGCACCCTCTCTGCCAGGGACAGAGGCTGCAGCTCCTGTAAGGATGTGCTCTACCTCAGTTTCCCCACTACACCCAGCATGTCTAGTGCAGTTACCTGAGGTATGAGCCTCGGTGGAGCAGAGCCCACTCTGGCACCTCACTATTTATCATGGTTTCCTGGGAGACACAGCAGCCAGATGTAGGGAAGCAGCCTGCAACCCTCTCCGCGGCCCCTCCTCCCTTTTGGGAAAATGAACTTTCACCATCAAGAGACCACGGGACAGAAGCAGAGCTTCTACAGTCTAGTGAGGGTTTCCAGGAGCAGGAAAAAAACCCAGTACACAGTACCTTACACATCATGGAGCCACGTGATATACCCACAGTCTGTTGAGAATGTATACAGCTAGCCACAGCCTAAGTGAAGAGCAGGCTCTCCTCTCGCCTGACCCAAGCCTTCTCCCCCCGGAACTCCAGTCTGTCTGAGGCAGCCGCTGTCCCCTGCCTTTTCCTTAGCAGCTGTGTCTGTGTGGGGCTTGTGCAAACCCTACGAGAGGGTCCCTGGCACCTCACGCACTGTGGTGCACACCGCCATGTCAGACACACTGTTGTCTGCTGGTTCTTCTGTGCACAGGTGCGCACTGGGCCCCGCACGGACAAGCACCACTCCCCAGAGGACAGCAGGGAAAGCTGGAGAGGAGCAGAAGCGTGGGCTGACAGAGGCCGGGACCTCTACAGACTGACAGGCTTCCAGTGCCCGGAGCCGCCTAGATCTGAGGGAAGAGGGAGATTACCACAGCAGACAGACACAGCCTCTGGATACGGGAGGGCCTGACTGGACACGATCCCGACCTGCCTGGGCCTGGAAGCCCCTCAACCCTGCTGGCATCTGCCTCTGTTATTGTGAGCCAGCTGGGTGTTTGGCTCCATGCCTTGGATATCATGGCGGGAAAGAGGGAGGGAGGAGGGAGGGAAGAGGGACGGGGGAGGGAGGGAGGAGGGTGGGAGGGGTTCTAAATAACAAGCAGCGTCTCCAGACAAGCACATACCGACTAGCACCCCTGTCCCCACGTGGGCTCCCCACAGCCCCTGTGCTGCCTGCCTCTTCTGAAGACCTCCCTGGCAAGGCAGCACTGTGCTGAGGTCCCCTGCCCTTCATGTACACAGCTGTAGACTTTGTGACTAACAACTGCACGCCCATGCACCCCAGGGTCACACCCCATTGCACAGCACAGCATTAGCGGCAGCGCCTTTGAGGGCCCCTGGGTTTAGACGGATCATGGGGTAGCGTCCTCCGCCAGAGCTCACTTTAACTCCCTTTCCGGTATACGTTCGAGGAAAGGCTGTGCAAAGGGAGAAGGATGAGCCGGCTCTTCCACCAGGCAGACTGTGCACTGTGGGCCTGGAAGGCTAGCCCCTGAGCTGTGGCAGACGCCTATCTACCACGGCTCTGCCCCAGCAAAGCAGGCTAACGAGTCACCTGGCAGCCGGAAGGGGCAGCCGGGCAGGGGCAGCCGAGGAAACCCGGCCTGTCCTCGTCCCTGTTTATGATGTGCTACAGGCTCCCCTGGGCAGACAGAACTGTGCTTTCCTGGACAGTCACCCTAGCTGCCTTTCGCTGGCTGAGCACCATCAGCAGTTGCACGCTCCTGCCTGGGCCACACCACTTCTCCCTTAGAGCCCACCCCAGGGTTCTACACACTCAGCTCTGAGTCACCCTCTTTCCGCCCACTTCCACTCTACCCTGACAGGAAACACTGCTTTTTCCAGAAAATAGTCCCAATCCCAGTGGGGACAGTGAGAAACACTCTCTCTGGGAGTCAGCCACATGCTCCACGCCCAGGGAGATGCAGCCTTCTTGCCCCTTCAGTACACTCCGAGAATGACAGTCTATAGATTCTATCATGTATTTTATGATTTGGGATGTTTTCCAATTGACAACACTATGTTGAGGCTTTATTTTCCCAATCAATAACTGCCCCGGGAAGGCAGCTAGGGAAGTTATTCAGCAGCCAAATGAGGCAGATGACCATGTCAGGAGCAGCCCCCTAGCTGTGCCCAGGACCCCCACAGGGTGCCTGCAGAGACCTGGAGACATATCCTTGAGAGACCCTGCACCCCTACTTCACAGCTTTGGGAGGGGAAGCGAGGCTCCAGCAGAACTGCTGCTTTTTCCGTGCTTTGGTCAGAGTGGCGATGAGTGTGGGTGTGGAGGGCCTGCACAGCCTCCATCCTTATGACTTGAGACCCTTTGTTATAAGGCATCATTATGGCGTTCCATCTAGGCAGTGAGCAGAAGGCTAGACTTTTTGTGGTGGGGGGGGGGGCCTACGACATTACGAAGATTTAAAACAGAAAATATTTTAGTTTTGTTATTTGTATAGATAAAGTTACTTTTTTAAATTTAGAAGTAATATACATATGAAGTATAAATGGTAGGGAATATCAGAACTCAGGCCCGGATAGACGGATTGGTGGCTAGAAGCACATACGTCTTCCAGAGGATCTGAGGTCAGTTCCCAGCACCCACATCAGGCAGCTCACAACTGCTTGTAACTCCAGCTCCAGGGGACCTGACGCCGAAGGCAGCCTGCACATCATATACATAATGAAAAAGAAAATAAATTTAAAAATGGAACTTATTCATCAAATTTAAAAATTATTAATTTTAAGGCAAAAAAATAAATGCAAATTCAACTTTGTTTTTGATATAACACACAAAAAAGAAAAACGGTCTCCTGGGTGGCAGAGGCAGCACATGCCTGAAATCCCAGCACTTGGGAGGCAGAGGCAGGAGGATCTCTGTGAGTTGGAGGCCAGCTTGGGCTACAGAGTGAGTTCCAGGACAGCCAGGGGTGTTATAGATAAACCCTGTCTTGAAAACAAACAACATCAAACAACAACAACAAAAAGGTCTTATGGCCTGATTTCTATTTATTTGTTTATTCATCCATTCATTCATTCATTCATTCATTCATTCTGGTTTTTAAGGATAGTCCTGCTATACAGTCCTGGTGCTCACTGTCCCCAGCCTAGCCTTTAGCTCAGAATGGTCCTCCTGCCCTGATCTCCTGAGTGACAGGGTTTCAGGAGCTGGCCACCAGATCTGCTTAGGACCAGCGGTTCAGACATCTGTAAGAGTATGGCTGACTTACTACTTTGAAACTTTCAGGTTAGTTTTAAAGAAGTAAGAGGAAACATTTGGGGTCCTATTTACAAGCTGTTTCTCTGTAGGAGACCTTTGTGGGTATGGGTCATTCTTCCCCTGAGTAAGTAAAAAGGCAAGAAGGATGTAAATTCCAACAGTGTTTCCAATTCTAAAAGTGTCCTTTGAAGCCCTTGACACACCTGGGAGTGTTTTGGGAGAAGGGACGCATGACAACAGCTGGCACGTCAGGGCACGTCGGGGCCACCTCTAGTATGTTCGTCAGGGGCAAATGGCAACGTGGTGCCCTGCGTTATGGAGGCAGGGGACGCCCCCTCCCAGTGTTTCTCTTGTTCTGCTGTGCTCTTTTATTTGTTATTTCATGTTTCTCCTTCACATGTGGGGACACCCCGTGGCCAGGGCAGCCCCTGCATTCTCTAGGACCGTATCCTGGGACCCACACGAGTCCAACCCTCCTGTGAAGAAAAGGCAGGAGGCCAGCATGTAGGACCCACTGGTGTAGGCTCTGAAGCCTACAGGCTTCCCTTCTAGGAACGTCACCCAACAGTGAAAACACCAAACACCTGTAGGCAGAGCCCAGAGCATGCTAGTTACGCCCAAGCACGAGGCCTCCCCCAAGCCCCAGTGGCACGCCCATGAACCAGTCCTGGGGAGCAGCAGACAGGACCATGCCATGGTGCAACTACACTCGTTGCTTTCGGGGTTCTCATTTTGCTCTTCGGCTTCCAGCTCACTGTCCCTATGTCTTTAATCAGAGCCTCTCACAGGTACTCACTGCTGTGGCTCGGTGACAGAAACAAGAGTGACGGAGTGACGGCGCAGAGCCAACAGCAAGGCCACCCACTAGATGCTGCACAGGCTCTGTTATCCGGAGGGCTGAGAAGGGAAGGGCCCCTGGCCGGTGCGAGGAGCCAAGCAGCAGCTGTTGGCTTTCACTTGCCAGGGAACAGACATAGGGACCTGATAAGGAGGTCCCCTCGGGGTGAAGGGGGGTGCTAACGACAAGCCATTAGTAGACGGGCCAACAGCTCCACTTGCAATGCGGTGGTTACCTGGTTATCAGGAAAGACCACTTCTCTCAGAAGAAAGTCCTCACCTCATTTGCTGTGTTGTGTGTTCCAACGATTCGGATGAAGGAGGCGGGCTGTCTTTCAAAAGTGACTGATTGCCAGGACCTGAGAAGAAACAACAATTTGTCTGGTTAGCTGGTGCAACTGGCCCTGCTGACCTCAGCTCCTGTGGCAGCAGACCCAATCTGCAGGGCAATGGGGCTGGGGGAGGGGGGCTCCCCCTGTGATGCCATTGAAGGAGGCAGGAAGCGCAGTGTCCCAGGTGGGCATCTGCCACCTCACCAGAGCAGACACTGTTACTGTCTGTGAGTGTGACTTCGGGTTCTCAGAGAGCCGTCAGGAAAGTAGCAAGACTGTGGACCTTGTTTGCCTGGTGACAAGAGCATGGCTGAATATAAACATAACCAAGGGTGGTGAAGTTTAGAAAATGGATGTCCTCATCAAGAGTGTGGGCAGGGCAGGGCCGGGCCGGGCCCGGCAGCCTCATCGGACTGCTGGTGGAATTAGCAGGTAATTCATCAACACGCCAAGCCTGGGTCAGGTGAGCATCTTGGGAGCTGCTGAGAGGAGACTTTTGAAGCAAGGTGTGTGGGGTGGGTGGGGAAAGCGTGGCTGGCGGAACTGGGCGAGGCAGGCTCTGTACTTGACATGGGAGCTGCAGGGTCGCTTCCATGACAGAGCTGAGCCCTGGGCTGGCAAGTACACTGCAGGCCTCCAGCCTGGCCTGCTTGCAAACACGGCCCCACATGCTTCCTTTCAAGACTGACCCAGCTCTGGGGGCCTCCCAGCAATCTCAGTGCTTGACTTCCTCCTCCCGCCCCTCCCCCATGTGTATAGCACCTCTGTGTGCGCCCATGAGTGTGCACGTGGGGGGGCGGGGGGGGCAGGGCCAGGTGTCTTCCTCTGTTGCTCCCCACCTAATTGTTTGAACTTGCGGACTTTTCAGCAAGGCTAGCCAGCTAGCAAGCTGCAGAAACCCACCTGCCTCCCGTAACAACACTGGAGTCACAGGCATGCACGATGTCCCTGGCTTTTCATCGGGCGCTAGGATCCAAACCCGGCTCCTCTGGCCTGCAGAGCAAGCGCATTCCCCACATTACCTGCTGACCACTGCCATCGCCCCAGCTGCCAGGCTGGCATTTTAAGGACAGCTCCTCCTCCTATGTCTGGGCTGAGCTAGCTCACCTAGGAGCCAACATGCAGGCCGGGGAAGGCCTGCTCCTGGCCTGTCGCCCTCAGCGAGGCCCTCCATATAATCCTTGTGAGGCGCTCACCCTTGCCGCTAGGGCTCCCGCACTGTAGAAACGCCAGCTGCTGTGAAGCTGTTTCCTGTAATTGGCTAATTACCAAGCAATGCTAGCAGAGGAAATATATGTATCTGCAGTTTGTTTTTCCCCGTCTGGTTTCAGGTGTTCCATCTTCCCTCTCACTCTGCGCCTCCCACTGAGACGGCTTCACTGCTGCCTGGACAGCAGTCCTCTTAAGGTCATTAAAAAGTCATTACCATCCTGTGTGCAAAGGCTCTGCCTCTAGAAGCAGGGTTTTGAAAACAGAGTAAGAAAAATCACTCTCTCGGTAAAAACACTATTACTCACGTGTAAAGACAGCTCACCTGCTCTTCCCCCACGCTGGCCTCTCTGCACTGCTTCCCAGTGTGGGACTCCTGTTCTCCTAGACCTCAGCTATTGGGGTGCTTGCCGGATGGACACAGCCTGTGGGCAGGGGCAGTCTGCACTGCTGTGGGGTTCCGCAAGCGTGGCTACCACTTCTGAGCCCAGCATCCAGGGGCTGGGCAGGATGTCAGAAGCCCGCCCTTGGCCACAAAGGAGGTCAGGGCCAAGAATACGAACACAGGAGAGCCTGAAGCCACCTGGGTTTCAGTCAGGGGACAGCGTGGGAGGGAGGTAGAGCAGAGGGGACTTTCTAGCCCTGCACCTGTCAGTGTGTCCCAGAGACTTTGGATTTAAGGTAACACTACATGTGAGAGCCTCGGGCCTCAGAGCACGGCACACCAAGCTTATGGGCAGGCCTAGTGTCGGGCCCGAGGCCCCTGCCTCTGCCCCAGTTCTTCACGGGATCTGCCTGAGAAGCGTTTCTGGCAGACAGGTCTTACTCCTCTCAGGCTCCGTGCCCTCTTCTCTTCTGCTCAGGCTTTTGCCTGGCCTGGGGCCCTGGGCAGGGCAGTGGCCGAGTAGGAGGAAGCCTGAGTTTGTGGAGTAATAAGATCAGAAGGTCTCAATTTAATACCAATCCACCATTACATTGCATTAGTATCTAATCACATTAGAGTTCATTTTCACTAACGCAGCCTGAGAGTTGAATATATGATCTCATTTCCCGCAGAACTAGATACCAATCCAGAGAGCAAAGTGGGGAGGAAGCCACTAGGTCTCGGGCATGAGACTTCAGCCCACCCTCACCAGCTTCCAGAGCCCGTTCCCTAGACTATGTCAAAATCACACGTGATGCCGTTTGACAAGATGGGGGCACTGCTGCGTGGACCTCAGAGGGCAGTGCTTGTAGCAAGATCTCACAGAACCGAGGAACCAGCACCATGATGCCACATCAGCCAAGGCCACGACCATCCCATGAGCTGGAGAGACAGCTGCTAATGGCTACCTTGACGAGCACCGCCTCTTCCTGGCTACTGAGCAGCACATCTCAGGAAGGGACAGGGTGGCTCCAGGATGGCAGTCCCCCTAACCAGAGCTGATGGGCAGCAACTCCTTTCAATATTTAAACCTTCATCTTGGAGGGAAGCTCTAAGTTCTATGGGGAGGAGAGACAGTCCATTCTCAAGGAAGCTCCTTTAAGCTCAGGAAGTGAACAAACTCAAAGACTTCAGGAAGTCCCTGAAACTGACTATATTCCAAAGGGCCCTCCCTCCCCAAGTGTATAAAGTCATTAAAGACTGCTTAGAGACACTCTTGGATTAGAAGACTCACTGAGCTCCCCGAGGCTCAGACCGGCTTAGCTGTCTGGAAAGGACACTCTCCACCTGTTGAGCCGCCTGCTGGCCGTGCAGTGCCAGGGTTCCAGCTTTGTGAGCTGTCAGCCACCGTGGGGTTGTGGTGCCCATCAGGGATGCAGCTGCTTGAGCCACCTCTGCTCCTGTAAGTGACCCTAATAAAAGTCACTGGCTCACAACTTGACTCTGGTGGTCTCCTTACTTTGCTCTGCCACTGGTTCCCTATCTAGGATGAGGAGACGCTTCGTCATGTCTCCCCAGGACTAGTACAGCATTATACAGGCTTGGATGAAGGATCTGGACACAAGCAATGGGCCTGAAAACAGAAGTCTTCATTCTGAGATTTAGCACACATCAAAATTCCCAGCTGGGCAAGGCACATGTCTTTAATCCCAGCACTCTGGAGGCAGAGGCAAACTCATCTTTGTGAGTTCGAGGCCAGCCTGGTCTACAGAGTGAGTTCCAAGATAGCCAGGGCTACACAAAAGAAACCCCATCTTGAGAAAAACAAATACAAAAAAGACTCTCTATTGTTCTACTGGGACAGTGAGACTTTTGGTTCAGTGGTAAACGACGCTTGCTGCTAAGCTGGCAACTCAGGGAGGGGACAAATGACTTGTATAAGCTGTCCCCCGAGCTCTACATGCACTCTGCATATGGATGGTGTGGGCAACACATGCATGCACAGCACACACACACACTCACACACGGAGAGAGAGGGGAAGGGGAAGAAATAAAAAAAGACTTTGATTTTGGCTGGAATAACTTCAAGAGCATTTTGTGCCAACACTGTCTCTGGCAGCGTGCGAGCACACCCACTGAAGAGAGGCATCTACGCGGCCTGATGTGAGGTGCCAACAGAGGCCAGGAAGCAGGAAGATGACCTCACAGGCGAGGTCTCCAGCACAGAGCTTTTATCTCCCTCCCTTCAGCTTGGACCCCAGAGTCAGGGCACCTAGGTTTGAATCTCAGTTTGAAACTTTTTGGTTTGTTTTTGAAACACGGCCTTTCTAGGTAGCCCTGGCTGTCCTGGAATTCACCACTTAGACCTCAGTCTCACAGAGATCCACCTGCCTCTGTTTCTCAGAGTGCTGGAATTAAAGGTGCACCACATGCAGCCCGCAGTTTGAATTTAAGTAAGTTGCTCAGCCCTTGTTGTCTGGGCCTCAGTCCAGGGATTCATGGACAGAGAGTGTGGCCCACATGGCATTTATAACTTTGCTGGGGAGATTCCCCACCCTTCCGAAAACTTATTAGAGAACAATACAAACAGCAGCATGGTGGCTCCAACTCACAAACTGGTGTTGCAAAAGTCCTCTTGTAACTTGTGTGTGACACTTATAAGCATTTTTTCAATGAAACAGCTACACATTTTGATGCGGTTCCCAGGCCCACTCCCAAAACTCAAAACAAGGCTAAAAGATTACATATATGAAGCTTAAGAAAGGGGAAATGACGGTGATTAAACAAGTAAGAAAAACAGAGATTAAAAACAATCTTTCTAAAGCCCTTGCTGAGGAGTGAGGATTACAAACTGTCATGCATCGTCAAGTCCAGGGATCTGAGCTGGAGCCCCGGGAGAGCCCATCAGGGGGAGTGAGCAGAGTGGGGCCCCGCCACTCTGCCGCACCTGGCTCCTGACAGCCTCTGGGAGACACAGTGCTGGGAACCCTGCAGAGAGCTGAGGAAGCTGAGGCAAGACAAGGTAAGAGCTGTGACATCTTCTACCAGTACAGAATGGCAGTACAGTTCTTACCATTATGGTGTGTATGCAACCAGAAAATACCAGGAGTGTGGCGGGGGACAGGGGCACAGCATGCTTTCTTGGCTTACACGCTGGCAGTGGGAGGACTGGGCCGAGGCAATCACCCCCCCACTGCGCTGGGCCCCAGCCCGACTAGTGGTAAAGAGGCAGCGCTTTTGCCCCTCCAAGGCTAGCACTACCAGGAGCCAGATCCAAAGCTGGAAGGTACCCAAAAGGCCAGGCCCAGACCAGAAGCATACATTTTGGACATCACACACAAAACTGAGACAGGGTGTGTAGACCCAGGGGCAGACACAGACTATGCAGTGCCGTGAGGCTTCTGTGCAGGCAGCTACAGGCCAGCATGTGACAGGAAACAGTACAGGAAACCCC